CCCCTTGTTGTGCCGCAGCCTCCCCCCGGCACTGGGACCCGGAGGGAGGAGCCACCCCCCTGGCTCTGCGGCTGGGGATAGGTCAGGGCCTGGCCCAGGCACCCACAAAAGCAGCGCCGCAGGGCATGGTTCATTGTCAGTGGCGGGGAGGGAGAGATATCTGCACCCGACGTGACCCTGCAGCCTTCACCCGTACTCACCCGTCCAGCCACCACTCGGAGGGGAGCGGGGCGGAGTAAACGCCGAGCTTCCTGCCAGGCCCCTTCTTCAATCCAGGCTCCTCGAGTAGCCCCCGCAGAACCCCTGGAAGCCTGGCCCTTCTGTTGTTGGAAAGAGAGGCAATTGCCCCCTTCCTTAAACGCCACTTTTAAAAGTGGGACTGGAAAAGAGAATGGCAAACGTTTGGTGAAAGGATGCAATGATTTTGTTTTCCTTTTTTCTTTTGTATTTTCTTTTCTTTTTCTCTCCTTTCCATCTTTCTTCTTTTTCTGTCCTTTGACGTTTAAACGCTGGAAGGACATAAAGGAAAACTTGTACCAGACACTCTTCCTTGGCAGGCCTGCGACGCCATCTCTGGGTAAACCACCAACAAGAAATAAGTTAGCCAAGGAATTCGGCCCGGCAGGCGGCCCGGAGCGTGGTCTTTCTCCCTTTTTCGAGGAAAGGAATTGGAAAGCTTTTCCCCAGCGCTGGCCCGCCTCCCCTTCCCATTCGGTGGCTGCCTCCTTTGTGAACTAATGACGGTAATTATTACCTCCTTGAGCTCTTTTGTTATCTCCAACCCAAGCCTGACAAAGGGGGGAGTGGACTCTTTGGAGAAATATAAGTCTTTATAAAGCAAATTGCCGTCTAGGGAGGGACGGCGTTTGAGGGAGAACAAATCAAATGCGGTGTGCATCTTAAGAAGGAGGTGTTAATTTAAAAAAAAGAGAGAGAGAGAGAGGTAAATACCACCTTTAGATTCAATGTACCCCAGAGCTGCGGGATTTAATGGAGTTTAAACAGCATTTTAAGTCGTATTTTTTAAGATCCGTTTAATCCAGGTGCTGCGATTTCTACCTTCCTCATGTTTTAATCCGCTTCTTCCTTCGGGGGCTTTGTGTGTGTTTGAAACTCTTGTTTTGAAGAACCTTTATGTTTTCGACCATTCATCCATAGTCGAAAAGTTCTGCCACCGCAGCCCGCTGGCTGGCAGCGAAATGTGCAGGATGTGGAGTGGATTTAAACAAAGAACCCGTCTCTCCGACGCGTATCTGCACTGCTGGAGCGAGAGCGGCGGAGCTGCCCAGACAGCTAGCAGACGGCAGAACCACCAAGTCTGTACACCCTGGCGTTGTTGCCCGGCTCCACTGGAGTGCCCGCAAGAGGGGCCGAACTGAAGCCTGGGTCGGTGCCCACAATGCTCCCGCGGCCTGGTGCAGGCTCCTCAGCACCGCTGGCTTTGTGCCCTTCCCTGCCCCCATGCCCAGCTCGGACCAGGTGGCCGCGGGCAGATCCTACCGCTTCTCTTGGCTCCGTCACGTGGGAAGAAAATAAAGCTTTGTGGAGAGAATTGGCCAATCACACATACACACACACACACACACACACACACACACACACGCGCCTAGGGACACAAGACTTGGGTTTGCAGGCGGCCACCCTGGGCCCCACGACGTCCTTCCTGAGCCAGAGTCGAAGGGTGGTAGCCAAAACTGAGGATCCATGGGTCCTTGCTTTGGCAGCAGCTTGGAGTGACTTGGTTCAAGAGGTCAGAGAAAAAGTAGCTGGAACACAATGGTAATGAAAAGCGCCCACCCAAGGGGAGCAGTATCCCAGGAATGCATGCCGCTGGAGGCCTGAAGGCAGCCCAGTCCCATCCTGTCCTCCTCGCCCTCTTTCCACCTGCCCAGGACCTACAAGGTGTGCGGGCCGCTGCTCTCTACAGCCAAGGGAAAGACAGCAGCGCGAACTCAACAGGCCCGAATTCTCAGGGCGCCCTCCCTTTGTTTAACAGATTTTAGAGAAAAGGAAATTATAAGAAAAGAGAGAGTCTAACTTTCTCAGGAAAGGAGAAATCTCTTTTCACCAGGCCACAGAAATAGCCAGTCTCCTCGTATTCCCTATGCTATCCTGCAGATTTTTGGTGGAGGGGTGGTCATTGATTTGAGGCCCGCTAACACCAGGACCCAGCAGACAATGCCATCTTTCCGCCTCGATTTGGAAATCTCAGATTGCTTAGTTCGAGACTCTGTGCACGCCTCCCACGCACACACTGATTCCTGTCACACATAAGAAGCGGCCTTTCCACGCCTCCGCAGGCCAAGGTCACCAAATGACCCAATCCCATCCCCCATCAGCCGTCATCCTGCCGACTCTAGCTCCTCTCCCTCAGCCCCTTCCAAGAAGTTTCCATTCGTTTATTTTCTCCCCAGCCCGAGGTCCTCGGTGATAGACTCCAGCATGGATTTTAATTGCCTCGATCAGCAGTCTTTCTCCCCAGCCGTCAGTCAGAGCCTGGACAGTGAGTCTGGCTACTGCACTCTTGGAAGCGCTGGACTGGTGCGCCCCCGGGGATCGCGCGGCTCAGTAGGCAGGCATTAGGCGCTACTAAGGAGCTGAAATGAGCCCATCAGTGCGTCGGTGCCCTTCCCCCGCAGTTCCTTCCCCCGCCGTCCCCTTCCCAAGCTCTCAAACTGCTCCTGATTCTGGTCCAGCCTCTCAGGCTCTCGAGGTCACAGCGACCTCAGTACTGTCTTGAAGGAAGGCGGCGCGGGAACCGCGCCTCCTTTCCGGCAGCCAGAGCCAGACCTCAAACAATACACCAGTTAATGCGTAATACAAGACACCTCTCAGCCACCCTTCCCGCCTCGCCAAGGTCTCTCTGGTCCACCCCTCTCTGAAGCCAGCGCTCGCTTGACCGCGTTAGCACCATGGACAGCGCACCCGGACCGGCGGGGGCTGCTGTCACCCTTCCTCCTCGCTCTCTGCTTGGACTCGCCTGCACGCCTCCCACCCACTCGCTCTGACTCCAGCCCGTGCGCACTGCCTGCCTCGCACCCTCACGATTCGGCTCCCTCCCTCTCCCATTTTCCCCTCCGCCGCCCCCTCATCCGTCCTTATTGGGCTCCCTTGCCTTCAAAATCATTCCGGCGCTCTGCGCCTTCCCATCTCCTGGCTCTGAGGACCCTTACGGTCGCCTTTCATATTTAACCTCCACAGCTTTCAGAGAGCATTGCCACGTCTCAAAGCCCTAACTCCAATACAAACACACACGCAGACACGCACTTTTGCTGTCCCTGTGTGACACCCACCCTCGGCCGCGCGGCCGCGCGGGTCCCCGCGCGGTGCGGTCCTCCCGCCACCCACAGGCACGCGCGCGCAGGACGGAGCCGAGAGCAGCTCTCCGACACTTCGCACTCAGAGGCGACCTGCTCCAGTCTCGCAGCGCTGATGGCCTCTCCCGGCTCCGGCTTTTGGTCCTTTGGATCTGAAGATGGTTCTGGGGATCCCGAGAACCCCGGCACAGGTAGGAGGAGCGGGACCTGCAGCAGGCGAGCTTTGTGCGTGGACTGGGGTTTGCGGGGCTAGGGAAGACGAAGGAGGTTTTCCACCTGCAACAGGAAACTTCGGTAGCTTCGCCCTGCTCTTGGGGTAGGTCACTGATGGTCCAAGAGACCAAAACCCCCACAGGTCCTTATCCCCTAGGAAGACCTCCCCGCAAAAATCCCGGGCCTTTCCCGCTGACGTCTGGGAGAGCCTTCCCATCAAAATCATCTCCTCGACCCTGAATTCCGCGGGTCTGGGACACTGCCACCATCTTGGTGTATGGCCCCTGGAGAGGGACAGAGTCTCAGTGGGGAAAGGAACAATTGGAAGGGTGAAAGAATTCTGCCTTTCCCCACCTCGACTTGGTCTAGAATGCTTTGTCTAGAAGGAGAACCTACGAGGAAAGGAACAAGCTCGGTGTCTAGGAAAACTCGCCCGAGAGAGGCAGGAAAGGGAGTTTGCCAGAATCGACTGGTACCTGGAAGGCAAGTGCAAGGGGCCGTGGTGTGAGCTTCTTCTTGGAAAATGAATCAGCGAGCGGGGCTGCCAGGCTCTCGCGCACCTCCCGCACCTGCCCGCGGTGCGGAGCCCAGACGGCCTCTTCCCCGACCCTAGGTTTATTGACGTCGTTCACATAGAAAGAAATTTCACACGTTCGTCTGCTGTTCTCTTTCTGCCTCTCTATCCTCCTGCCTGTCTTTACTTACAGCCAGAGCCTGGTGTCAGGTGGCCCAGAAGTTCACGGGCGGCATTGGAAACAAGCTGTGCGGTGAGTGCCTGTGCCCAGGGCAGGGAGGCGGACAGGGCCAGGTGCCTGGGGGCCCGCGGGGCAAAGCCACCTTCTCAGCTCCACGCCCCCAGCAGCGGAGCTGGGATAAGAGGGAACGAGGGAGCCCGGCCGCGCGGGCAGTGGCTGACCGAGGTCCGCGTTCCGTGTCCTTGCCCAGCTCTGCTCTACGGAGACGCCGAGAAGCCCGCGGAGAGCGGCGGGAGCGAGCCCCCGCGGGCCACGTCCCGGAAGGCCGCCTGTGCCTGCAACCAGAAGCCGTGCAGCTGCCCCAAAGCCGATATCAACTATGCATTTCTACACGCAACAGGTAAAGGCGCCTCGTGGGGCCCGGGGGAGCCCCTGCCTTTCGCTCTGCCCCGCCCACCGCGGCCAAGAGGGACCCGCACCATGAGCAGGACACCAGGAGTGGAGGTAGAGGGCGGAGGCGGACCCTACGGGCATCTTCAGTGGAAAGGGAGATACGCCCGGCCTGCCCCCATGGTCCGAGTCCTGACCCCCGCCTCTGCGTGGTGCTGGGCCCCATCGTTCCAAGGGGGTCCGAGGGGCCGTGCACTCTAACCCCAAGGCCGCCCTCGGAGTTGCGGGGGGCCGAGGAGCCTGTGTGCGTGGAGCTCGAGGTCGGCTTTTTGGTACCGCTGAGGCCTCGGGTGGAACTTGGTTTCCTGTTCAGAATTACTAAGACTTTTTAGATTTGTAGCTGCGATTTCACAGGAGAACGATTCCATTCACGCGAGACCTGTGCGCGGTTTTACTCCTTTAGGCTTACACATCTAGTCATCCAAACACGCGTGCGCACCACACACACACATACACACACACACACACACACGCACACACGCACACACACACACGAACACTAGCTTTAGAAATAGCGGGCCTTCATAATAAGCCAGAGATCCTAACGTTGCATGTTCCGCATTGCTGGGTTGCCCAAAGGCATTCCTCAACCATTTTTGACGTGGAGTATTTCCATAATCATTTAAGATAATTTGCTGAGAAATAACATTTAGGAAGAACCCCCTGTGAAATAAGTAAGTGGAGGCACACTCTGTTTTAAAAAAGAAAGCAAACAATAAGTTATGGATTGAAATGCAAGAGTTCATTTGGGGTGGGAAGGAGAAATCCTAATTTTTCTCATTCATTCGTCTTTGAAAAATGCCTCCCTTTTAAAGAAAACGCTCTGAGTTTCCAGATTTTTAAAAAACATATAATCTCTCAGTTCAAAGAGAAATTGCCAGATCAAGATCTTGCCTGGATATTTTCACAGTAAAATTAAAACGTGGCATTTTGATTCCTTTCCTTAGACCTGCTGCCAGCCTGTGATGGAGAGAGGCCCACCTTGGCATTTCTGCAGGATGTTATGAATATTTTGCTTCAGTATGTGGTGAAAAGTTTCGATAGATCAACCAAAGTGATTGATTTCCATTACCCTAATGAGCTTCTTCAAGAGTATAATTGGGAATTGACAGACCAACCACAAAATTTGGAGGAAATTTTGATGCATTGCCAAACAACTCTAAAATATGCAATTAAAACAGGTATTGTCTCATCAGAAATAATAAAGCTCTTTTTTCTTTCACAATCTTTTTTTTCTATAAAATATTTTCTTTTTTATGGAGTTACTGACATTTTCAAATTTACAAAGTTATTTTCGCCATTTAAAAAATAGTCATTATTAGAATGACTCAAATGAAAACACCCTTTGTTATTAGTGTTAATGTTTCTGAAGTTGACAATATCAGAAACATTAATTATAAATCGTCAGATTTTACATTGCACGTATTTGGCCATGGGGATTAACCACTGATGTAGAAGCAACTATTTGTCAGCAGAGGCCAGTAGAAAGGACCCAAAATGGAGAAAGAAAGGGAATGTGGAAATGAATGCTCAAAAAACATGATCCAAAAAAAAAGCCCAAATACTAATGTAGTCCTGATCATTTCTTTGTCATAGAAATGGTCAGAAATTGGACAAACCATTTTATATAATTATTGAACCAGACAGATAATATTTTGGCATTGTCTCAAATGGCCAAGACTTCAGATTTGAACTCCAAGTTGTCTCTATTTTCAAAGAAATGTACACAGAAGAAAACACAATACCAACTATCTTAACAATTCAGCCATGTATACAAGGATGATGTATGCTTCAGAGCTAATCTGTATACAAGATAAGAATTTAAAAGGGGGGTTAGGGAATCAGATATCCTTAGGGGCAGATTTTTCATCATATTTGGTATTTTTGCTTTTTCACAGTATTCTATTTCACATACTCTATTCATTTTATAGTTCCAGGTGTGTCGATTATGTGGGTGCATTCTAAGCTTTCATTTTATCTACACAAAGTCAGCTATTCATCTTCCAGGTCATGATTACCTCTTCCTTTCCTACATTGTCTCTAATCGTCCCGATACATGACGCAACACTTCATTAAAGCAATAAAAATATGTATGACTAAATTTTCGGGGGAAAGAGAAAGACCTTGTGGATCTAAATTGATTTGTGGCTAATTGATTTGGATCTAAATTTGATCAGTATCATTCTAATCAACAACAAACATTTTAAGAATGTTTGCCATGTGGCTTTCGCTCTTTTTATTTTGTGTTTTTGTTTTTGCACATTCTTTATACGAACAGAGAGGAAAGGTATGCATAGAAGAAAACTTGGGAAATCGATGTACTGAATTATTAATAAGTATCCACTTTTGTGAGACTATGGACTTAGAATTGGATATATAGGGAAAGGAATTTGACTTAATTTCTATCAAATTCAGTCTGTGCAATATGATTTTTGAAGGCTTATTAGATATCATTCTCAATTATGTTCACAGAGAATCCACAAGATGTATATATTAGGCATGAAAGATGTTTTTCCTTCCAGCTTTTCGTTTATCTGTAGGCACAAACCTGAAAATGCTTTTAATTCATTTTTGTTTGACCCTTTCACCTAACCTAATATTTAAATGTTAATAGTAAATTGCTACCTATTATTTTTATTGCGACCAAACCAAAAAGAATCTATACAAATATTTTTACATCTTCATCCTTAAAAGCTGGTGGTGTCTTAAAGACAAATTAAAGAGTTAAGATAATGGGTATTGCTATTCTATCTGTGTTCCATTTAGTATCAGGAAAAAGTGGGCCAACTTAATACTTAGATTTTTGTCAAAATGCTTGTAAAACTGTTGGTCAAGTGTAGCTCTAATGCATTGTATATAGAGTTTCTGGGAAAATATGATTGATTAAGTTGAATTTCTAAACAAGGTATAACAATAGTAATTCAATATCAATGTTATCTGTAACATACATAGTCTGGTCTTCCACCCTACCCTCAAATAGCTTTCAAAGAAATAATAGCAGTCATCTTCTCTTTTCGACTAGCAAGTTTATAGGTTTTAATGCTATAACTCGTGTTTGACAACTAGTACTATTTAGGGTCTGTCAAGTAGTTACCATCCCTGCTACCATCAGGCATTTAATGCTTCTTTTATAAAATGCATGTTATTACCTGCTTTCTACTTAGAGTCCTTAACCTAATTTCCCCTTGGATTCAAGCCTAGATAAGAGAGAGGAGCAGTGGAGAGATACATTAAAATGAAGTCTTCATGTATTGTTAAAATTGCCTCTGTAAGAAATGTTGGAACAGAAAACTGAAAATCGCAGAGAAAGAATTCTGGAATAATTAGCGTTTGCGGGAGGGGAGAGGTGTGTCATTAGATTTGGTGGTGATGGTGGTGGTTGGGGGTTGGAGGGGTCGATGTTGTCTTGACCCTTTTAAACCCAACCATCAGGCAAAGGAACTGAAGCGTCAGTAAATGAGGCATCCTTGGGTGTGTGTTGCCGGTATATAGAGAGCAGTTTGGATGACTTCGGGCTCCTCCCCAAATGATTGTAGACACCCGGGTCAGAGGTACCTAGGGCTGGCTGTTCGCAGTCTGCGCATCCTTGCCGCCTCATTTGATAATCTGCAGGAAGCGTTCCAGAGGTGTGAGCGGCTCTACTCTCACGTTTCAAACTCTCTGTCGCCCTGGCTGAGCGGGCTACGCTTGGCCACCCGATTCCTGGCGCGCAGCCTCGAAGCACAGGGCCGGGTAGGGGCGGAGGCAGCGGCAGCTGGATGCCAGAGCTGCTGGGGCAGCTGGCAGGCTCCAAGACAGGTCTTTCACATCCTTCCTCTCAGAGAGCCCTGCCTGGATTCACCTGCAGCCTGTAGAGGTCATGCAAAGAGAGCAAATATAATATTTCTGCAGAAACCAAGAGATCATGTTGTTCTGACCCATCAAACTATCTTCTTCTGTATTTTCACTTCATTATCAGTGAATGAAAAATTTGAGGTAGGAGAAAGTCAGGGGAAATGGGAGACCAAGGTCAAAAAAAAAAAAAAGAGAGAAGGGGCCAGGTCATTGACGCAACAAACTTACTTCCATAATTTCCCAAAGGCAGTCAAGGCGGGTGGGGGTGGAAGCGCTGGGTTGGCTTTCTGATATCCTGGACCACGACACCCATCTTGGCATCCCTCTGGATTTTATGCAGAGGTTTTCATGCCCAATTCCCCACAGAGTTAAATAGTGCATGATAATAGACACCAGACTCGTCCAGAAAAATGCATATGAATTGGGAGCTTAGATTAATGGATAGATTTGCTAATCCTTATTAATTTCCTTGTGAGCGCTAATGAAATGGGCAGTCAATGAGGCAGAGAGGAGTGGAGGGTTGCTCCAGACGGCGGGGGCAGCAAAGAAGGCTTTTTCACTTCCCTGGATGCATAAACTGACAGGGTCGACATCAGAGGACCTGGAAAAGAGCAAAAAAGACCGAAGGGCACTGTGCAAGGCCATAGGAAGGTAAAACAATGGCAGGGAATGGAGAGAGCACCGCACAAAACTCAATCTCTTTGAAATGTGCTCTTTCCTTTCCCAGCCCCTATCTTTTCTCAGCGTCTAATTGTGTAGCCACATGCCAGAGGCTGATAAGAGAGCACTCCCGGTCCTAGAGATAAGCTCCGTGTTGACTTTTGTCTCTGCTTTTCCCATTGCCTCCCTTTATCTTGTTTTGCCCATGCTGGCATGAGAGACTATCACATCCCCAGGCTTCAGACAGGTGTCCAGTAAGTGGCAGATGCCTTTTTATCAGATGCTATATCCATAATTGTTTATCTTCCAAAATTTTTGCTGCTAAGCAAATCGCAGATTTATAGATAGGCTTTTATGGGGCAAGAGAAGGAAATGGAATTCTAATGAGATACTTACCATCACATTTTAAATAATAGCCTCTGGAGTATTTGGATGTCAACCCCTTTTGAGAGTCCAAGAGACATCCAGAAATTAATTAGATAAGCCTTGCTAATGGACTGATCAGTCCATTGATGATATCTTCATGTATCTTGTTGACAAGACAGTGATGCTGACTGTATTCAGCTTTTTAAAAAAATCACGACTAAGGAGTTCTGTTGTTTATAATTAAATATTTGGACAGAAAAGAATTGACAAGAATTGCGTTTGTCCATGCCATCTTTAGACAATCATCACCTTTTCAATACAGGGCAAATCATTCAACTGAGTGTCCTATTTTCTCATTTTTGCCTTGTCTTTTGTAATCATCAGCCATTTGTCACTGATATTATTATGAATGTTGGCATGCCTGGAGGATGTCATGGAATGACCGATTTCCACAACAGCTTCAACAAAAAAGAATTTTTAACAGCATGAGTGTAAACAAGAATAGCTTATCTTTGAATATGTTTGGATTGCACTAGCATTTTAGTTTGCAAATGTATTAAAAGAATGCTAGGAAATTAACGAGTGTCCACATCGCAAACCACATTTGTTATTTTTATAGTAAATGTTCAAAGGAAGATTTTTAGAGTGTTTTAAGAAATACCAAAACACAAAATAGTCTCTCTTGCTAAAGAAAATGCTCCTGTGTGTGTGCGTGTGTGCGTGTGCGTGTGTGTGTGCACGCATGCATGTGTGTGGGTTTCTGAATATGCATTTCCTAATACTGAGGGATCTTTCAAGGTTCTTTAGCTAGAGAAATTGTGTGTTTGAGAGGCATTTATTTTCAATGGAGACAGTCTTGATTCTGGTATTCCATTTAATTCAGGACACCCCAGATATTTCAATCAACTCTCCACTGGGCTGGATATGGTGGGATTAGCGGCAGACTGGCTGACATCGACAGCAAACACTAACATGTAAGTGTGTTTTTTGTGTAATCCAGGATAATTATTAGTGAGATTCCATAGTCTTTATTCTACCTCTCCTGTGAAAATCTCTTTTATTAAGTAGGCCCTAAAATAGAGATATGGACTTCAGAAGTATATGGGTGTTCATTCTATCTTAATAGAAATAGTCCTGATGTAACTTTCATGCAAAGTTATACTACATTTTTTAAATGTAAAAGAGTATTCTTTGCATTTTGGGTTCATAATTATGTATACTGTAAAAGAGAAATGAGACCAGATGTTGTCTTTTAAATAGTGTTACTCAGCAATGTTCTTTATTCAATATGATAAATGACCCTTGTACAGTAAGCCAATAATTGAAGCTCTTGACTTTACAAATATAGAAAAATGAGCAAACCTTTTAGGAGGCATCATTTTCTCTCTGCTTAATGCTATACTCATAACAGTTGCAAATGTAGTGTTTGAGAAAGGAAATAGTTCTATAGATATTGAAATGGTGAATTATGTTTTTTAGTTACATACATAAAATGTGACCATTACTACATTTCAGGTTCACCTATGAAATTGCTCCAGTATTTGTGCTTTTGGAATATGTCACGCTAAAGAAAATGAGAGAAATCATTGGCTGGCCTGGGGGCTCTGGCGATGGGATATTTTCTCCTGGTATATGATATTTCGACTTTCTTTGTGTTTTTTCCTTCTGATGTGCAATGCCCTATTATGAACCTAGGAAAGATTAACAATCTAGTTCGTATTTCTGTTTAGGTTAAATAGGCTGTATGTTGATCAAAAGAATGAGTGTGATTAAGTACACATGACCATTAGCTCTACCTCCAAGCCAACTAACTACCCCATGCTTGAACATTAGTTATTTGTATTCAAAAGGAGCATAAACAGAAATGATATTTACCCAGTAGTTCTACTGGGATCCTACATACAAGACGTATGGATCATGCGGAACAAAAGAGTAAAGATTCCTAAAAGAGAATTCACTCTCGGATGCTCTTCCTTTCTTAGAGAAAGGAAAAGGAAAGCCTCTTTGAATAAAGTATTTATTCTCTGTTTGAGGGTGCATAACAAGGCAGGTCTACTTAATAGAGCCTATGTACCTTGCCGCTTTCAAGCAATAAGCAGAGAAGCTGATCGAGGAGGGCAGAGAATGCCTCGGGAGACAATTTCTTAGAGCTAAAAAAGAGAGTGATGATTTCTTTAAGAATTTTCTCATTCCCTCTCTTCTTTGTCACACCACTCAGTCTTTTCTAAGCTGCCTCATATCATCAGCCATTGAATTCTGAGCTCCTTTACTTGCACCTGAATCAACCTGGAACAAAAAGCCCTGGCCCTGATTCCCAGGTCTGTGTGTGACCTTGGTTTGTGGCAAAGGAGAAATAGAAATTAGAAAGGCAGTGGGAAGAGAGAGTCTCTAAAGAAACCTAGTGTGCAGATCATTCCCTAATCAGTGGCAGGAAGGAGGTCATCATAATGGGCTGGGGGCTCCCCTAGCGCTCAGTACACTAAGCCAGAGCCACACCTGCCATTGTGTCAGGCCTAGCAAAGGCCACATTGTGATCTCTCTTCAGAAAACCTACAAAGACAAGCGGATGATGAGGGAGAGAGAACATAAAGAAAAGGTGAAAAGAAAAAATGATAAACGAGCGACAGTGGCCTCGAGGCCAAGGCTTAAATCAAGCAGCTTTTACCTACAAGTTCAGATCTGCTATTTTAGTTTACGTTTTTAAAGATATAGCACTTTTTTTTTCAGGTGCTAAAGGAAAACGTGTTAGTTAAATGGAAGGGAAAATTAGCCTTTTCTTTTTAAGTCATTGAACACCAGCTGTGAGGAATTTTAAGCTAGCCTCTATTTGGTAGGAAACTTAGTTTTCCTCTGGAAAACCATCCCCTACTGAGGGAACTTTGTCATCATTGCCTGGAACTGAAGCTCTTAAGGTATGTTTCATGAGGAATGAGTAGAGTTCAGGAATCAGCATCATTCTTACCTTCATACTTCTTCTCTCAGGTGGGTTGTATGATTGAGCTGTCCCCGAGGGAGCCAAGAGTGTCCTGGGCTCTCTTTTAATGGTTCCCCAGGAGTCGGAAGAGAACAGCTGCTCCTGTCGACCCCGAAAAGTTGACTAAAGGGGCTTGGGATGGGCCTAATTTACCTGGCTGGTCTTGGAACCCACCTGCTCCAGAAAACACACACCAAGAGAAAGCAGCCTCTTTGGCAGTTCTGCTAAGCCAGGTATAGATTTAGGGCTTGCCCTGCCACCCTCATCACTGACAGGAAATGGTCAAGAGAAGGGGTAGACGAGACTTAACTCGATCATGGGTCTTCTTCCTTAGATTCTCAAGACCCATATGCTCTCACCCCAAGATGGAATCCATAGATGTCATTCTACAGTGTAACGTAGACATTGCAAAGTGGGGAGGAGACAGGAGAAAAGTCCATTGGCAACCTGTTTCTTCTCTGCTCTCTACAGACATTACAGAGGAGAGATGGACTGTAGTATTTTTACTTGCTAATGAATACCTTTCTAAGGGTAAAGAGTCTTGCAATTTGAAGAATGGGGAGAGGAGAAATCATGCATCTTATGTGCCTGAGATCTAAAAGTCCCATTGCCTGGGACTTTTAACACAAAGAGTTAGGTCTGTGGCTCGAAAATATAGCTCAGCTCAGTTTGCCTTACACCTCCATCTATTACATTCGGAGGCTTCATGAATCATGGAAAGTCCTTTGGGACTTCTAGAAGAAATCCGTTTATGTGATGTCACCTACACCTGATAGCCAGAGAGAACGGAGCACTCCTTGCTGCTCAGTAAGTCATGAAGGGCTGAGAGGAAAAGAAAAGAGGCTTGGCTTAGTCACAAGCCTTTTTCTAACAAGATTTTCAGAATGGTTCAGGGTTTGCTTTTGCATCCTTTCTGTGGAAAATTCATGGGGCAAAAAGAGCACACAGGGCTTACGCATCTGTCTTCCTATCTGTGTCGCACAAAACAGTCTGCTC